ATATCAGTACCTCTAATTTGTACTGTTAATTTAAAACAACTTGGCATTTTTATGTTACTATTAATGAATGTCGCTAGCTATATAGGAAGACATTGTTTATCCGGTCTGCTGAGCTCTGATTGGTCGACTGTCGGCCTGATTTCATGTAATGACCTCGACCTCTGTGTCCGCAGCCCCCGATGGGAGAGGAGGGAGGCAGGAGGAGACGTCACTCATCCTCGGCCGGGGATGAAGGGAGGCGTCGGCGACATCCTTCCAACTCTACCTCAAAACCCACGCAGGCCTCCAAATCCTCTAACGCCGCCGCTCACCCTGCCGCCGCCGCCACCGCTGCCGCTCAGAACACACCCAAAGACAACGCCCAGAAATCAGCAGCAGCCACCGCCCCGAGGAAAAAGGCCGAGCCCGGAGCAGTGAAGAAGGAAAGCGTCGCACCAAGTAAATGAAGCTCCCCTCCTGTAGGTGTGGGTTCGGATAGAAGAGAAGTAGAGCGAGGCGGCGATGATGGCGGCGGGCGGAAGCAGCTCTGAGCTCAGCGTTCGTTCTTCTCAGCGGCAAACTGTTTGGGCATGAAGAGCGACTGCGCGTGGTTGACTTAAATTTGACTGTTTTTATCTGTGCATTTCATTTTAAAAGCAAAAACAAGCATAGGCAGTGAGCTTGAATCTGTGCGCCTGACAGCTCGTAACGTTTACAAAAAAAACAAAAAAAAAATGCATTCCCTGCATTTTGCCTTTTTATTCTCTCAGATGCCAAAAACTTCCTCAACAACCTGTTGATCTCCACAATCTGTAAACAGCTCTGGTCTGTAAAGAGCTCTCTCAGCCTTGTTTTTTAAAACTGTGATTGTAGTTTGCCAAGATAAGAGATACTGCAGACAGTCCTGTGTGCCTTAATCTGATTGAGCAGAGAGACAGGAGGCCTTTCAGTGGCAGAAGAATCCAAATTTTGCTCTTTTAAAGTCTTCCCAATCGATTATTTTGGGTTTTGAATATGTTTAAAATCTGATACCACTTCAGGTTTTTATTTTCTCGAGACATAAATATCCTCAGTTTTTTTTTAATTTTTTATTATCATGACAATCAAGTTGACAGCTGCAGTCATAAATTTGTGAAGGACTGACCCCGAGGCAGCTGCTCCGTAACAGATGTGCCCTGATGTTTTTTAAAGTCTGACTCACGAAGGCTTCCTGGCTTAAACTTCATCACGTCGGTTTTCGATTTAAAAAATAATAATGACACATTTTATCTGGGAAGCTTTAGGTCCCATTTTACACCCAGAGGTAGTATAATTTATTGTTTTTGTTTTTATTTTTCCATGTACTTGATTTGATGGAATAGTCTTCGGTAATCATTGCAGTTTTTAATGGCTTTTTGCTATTGAATATGATATATATAAAAAAAGAGGAAATGTTTCTGCTGGAATTATGGGTGTGAGCTAGCATCATAAAAAACTACAGTATATTTTAGCTTGAAGTTTACTTCATATTATGTTTGAGGCTTAGTGCTCCAGAAGCACTTAAATCTTTCCTTTTACGTTATCAATGGACTTAAAGAGGTTTTTAGAGTTGAATTTTAAAAGAAAAAAAATGTAAATACTATAAAAAATCATTTGCTATTCAATTATTCTTTTTGATTTTAAGAAGTGATTTTTGTTTTATCTCGGTAGTTTTGGTTTTTTGAGTGTGTTTTTAGGATAAAGCAATGCATGTGTTAATGCCAGAGTCTTGAATTGTAAAATGCAAAAAAATATAAAATAACAGTTGATTGTATGAACTGTGTGTGTGTCTGTTTGGTGTGTGTTATCTGTCCTACTTTGTGTTGGCTCTATCTTGTTACTTTCTCTGGTGTCCCTCAGGGCGAGGCATCAAGCCTGATCAGCAGGTTTTTTTTTTTTAATTATTTGTTCCCAACAACAGTCGAGGGTGAAATTCACGCTGCCGTCGCTCAGATTAAAAACTGTCTGATGATCTCGGTCGACTGTAAACCTTAAGTCCCACTAAAGTGCATTTCAGCAGTTATCATCTCGCAGAGTAAACAAGCAGTTAGGAGGAAAATGTGTTTACACAGATTGTGCAAACAGCAGACCGATAACAGCTGAATAAAAAGGGCAAATGGTAGAGAGTGTTAGCTAAAAAACAATCACCGAACAATGTCTGAAATGGCATTTATTGTTTTAAAAAGGCTTTATTTTGCCCACATGATCATAATTTCATACCACTGTGACACCAACAGAAGAGGAAACAACAACAATAAACAAACAAACAACCTTTCAGTAAATGTATGAAGAAATAAAGTTCAATGTTTAACTTCTGGGTTATTTTAGTTTTATTAATAAGTTAGTGTCTGTTTGTTTCGCTACGGGTCCCGATGAGGGATCAACAGTCGAGTTTCAACGTCTACAGAGGTGGGCGGGTGTCCTGCTGCCTTCACGTGTCCCTCGTAAACATCAACTCTGAGAAGTGGATCTTTCTGGGACTGTAAAGTGCTTCTGTGTACTTACAGTTTCTATGTTGAATAAGTCTCTTGTGTTTTTGTTTAAAGTTTTAGTGAAGCCAAACCGTAAACATTATATTGTTGTCTCTTTTTGTGTTACTCTGAACCTGTTTCTATTGTAAACTGCTCTTTAAACAAACCTCACTTTTATTTACCTTCAGGTCACAACAGGAGGCTTACATTTACAAGTAATTTAAGTCATGTATCTCTTTATCCAATTGGCCTATCTGGTGTAAATTCAATGACACTACAAACAGAAGATGTGCAGTTATAAGGATGTAGTCAAATTAACAGGCGGGGTTTAATAAAAAGAAGTTTCATTATGGGAAACGCTCGACTCTAGGGACTAAGTCAAGATTTCTTGGCTTTTGCATCGAAGCTTCTCATGGAAGTCCCCCTATTTTTAGAGAAATGCAATATTTAATTCCCCTTTAATATCCCTGGTGAGCCGCACAACTTGTGGAAATTGAATTAAACTTAAATTGACATCAAAATAACAAGAATGTAACCCAGTTATAGAAATAAATATCAGTGCTGTTTGTGTTATCTGCAAATAGAAATCTATCCATTTTACAGAGTGCTCGAGGTGTCATTTGATTATTTTAATGTCAAAATACATGTTTTAAATGTAGGGCAATTTGAACACAGCTAGAATTATTAGTATTATTAATGTTTTGATGATTGATTCATTCTTTAAGTCATTTTAAGTAAGAAAAAAGTGAATATTTTCTAGGTTTCTTAGACTTATATGATAGTAAATAGTAAAAAAAGTAGATGTCAGTGGATATGTTTGTATTTTGGACTATTGATCTGGGGATTAAGATAAGATATTCCTTTAATAGTTCCACAATGGGGAAATTCCAATATTACAGCAGCAAAGTGGATAGAGAAAAAAAACAGTATAAAGACAGAGTATGAAAATATAATATATAAACACTGTACAAGAGAAAAAACAGTAAAAAGCCACACCAACAGATAACGAATAAAGAAATTAGTGGTTTCTTTCCACTATTTGCTGACATCAGAATCAGAAATACTTTAATAATCCCAGGGGGAAATTATTTTTGTTACAAGACTCCAGATATACAAAC